TGTATTTTTAATAGAGACAGGGTTTCACCATGTTGGTCAGGCTGGCCTCGAACTCCTGACCTCAAGCAATCCACCCGCCTCGCTCTCCCAAAGTGCTGGGATTACAGGCATGAGTCACTGTGCCTGGCCACAATTTTTTTTTTTTCTATAAAGCACCTGGGCATGCTGACTTTGGCAGCACATAGACTACAACTGGAATGATACAGAGAAGACTGGGATGATCCCTGTGCAAGGATGACACACAAATTCATGAAGTGTTTTTTTTAATAGTTATATTTTTAAAGTTAAAAAACATCACTTGGGTAAAACTTGCTTTTCAATAATGTCACATTTCATGATATTAGCCATAAATATCTGACGTCTTGCATTTGGAATTGGTTATCTAAGAGTTGTTCTCACTAGAAGATCTGCCTGGCAGCATGCTCAGTGGTCAAAATGTTATCTTCTTCTCAGCTCACGCTTCCATGCAAGTGTCGTGATAAAGTGTTTCATGTCCATAGTTATTTATTGAATAATGTATTGAGTAATAGAACAGATTTGGAAATCTGATAGGAGCAGGGCAGTCACACTATTTAATAGGAATTATAGGTAGACTCTAATTTATGAACTTACCTTCAAAGGTATGTTGTAAGTTGATTGGTCAGCGGTCAACTTCCATTTCACTTGTTGGATGTGTTTTGTCACACATAGTCTGAAAGAACCTATGTGAGCCACAATAAAGGATTATATAGAGTTATAGCACTGACACCTCTCCTGGTCCAATTACTGCATTCTGGAAACAGGCTATAAGATAAAGCCGTGTCTGACACCCATTTTTCCTGCCGTAGACTAAGAATTAGGAACATGTTGAAAATAGAAATGGCAGTGTTTTAAAATGAACTTATTGACCTTTTTTTTTTGGTAACTGGTGAGATTTCACTAGTTTAGCATTAATAAAATGAAGTCGCTGGGCGCGGTGGCTCACGCCTGTAATCCCAGCACTTTGGGAGGCTGAGGCGGGCAGATCACGAGGTCAGGAGATCGAGACCATCCTGGCTAACACGGTGAAACTCTTTCTCTACTAAAAATACAAAAAACTAGCCGGGCGAGGTGGCGGGCACCTGTAGTCCCAGCTACTTGGGAGGCTGAGGCAGGAGAATGGCGAGAACCCGGGAGGCGGAGCTTGCAGTGAGCCGAGATCGCGCCACCACACTCCAGCCTGGGCGACAGAGCAAGACTCTGTCTCCAAAAAAAAAAAAAAAAAAAAAAAAAAGAAGTGAAAATTTCTTGTAAGGTGCTCCTATGTTACCATTGACAGGCTCTGTTTATCAGTGGGAATTCTTGTATTCAAGGTTATTTCCAGAACACAGTTTGGGAGGGATGGTTGGCAAAGCCTAAGGAATTGATGCCAGATGTGGAGGGCCGTGGGCTTTGCCATCCATTGGAATGTCCTCTGGGGTGGCTCCCAGGTGTGCGGTGATGTCCATCAAGAAGAGCGTCAGAGGGCCACTGAGGACGGCCTTTGCATTTGGTGGTGTTGCTCTTGTTCTTTCTCTTGACTGGTTGAATGCACTGCTAAGGAATCGGTGAATTGAACTGCTTGATGTTTAGTGTTATCATCTTGTCCTCAACTTCCAGTCATCTAGAACTCCTTGCTGAGTGACTATTTGGGAGGAGGAAGGTGAATGATACTGTATCAGGAGCCTGCTAGGATGGAAGGCTTCCAGAACGTGGTCATGGAATGCTGGCCCTGTTCACAAAGTCAGCCTCTGGTGGGGAGGCTTAAAGACTCCTTTATTCTTTCGGTAAATACTGAACGCTTACTGTATGTTGGGAAGATGTAAGAAATGTGTTTTTCCATGGAATGCAAGAGAATAAGGCAATTGTTTTTGGCTGTCTTTACACCGTAACTTGGATTTACTGTTTCAATTTTGGCGATGAGTGTTAAGCTTTAGCTGACTTTCTGTGTTTCTGGAGGCTTACTTGAAAGGGAAGTTACACTTCGAGCAGCTACTGAACTTTGCCTCTTTTAGATCGGTCTCTGGAGAACAGCTGTCAACTTCAATTTTTCTCGTAGCTGGAAAATCAGACTCTGGCATTGTCTGTGGATTCTCGCTTTCTGCCGCATTCTGGAGGTCAGACTCCTAGGGTGCCTTGTGATTTGTGAGGATCAGGTAGACCCAGAGCCATACTTTGCCAGACCCTATTTTCTAATGGAATGTTTCCCATATGCACCTAATTCTGAGTTATGGAGAGGAGCATGTCCAACATACGTGTAACAAGAGCCACCCCGTGAGTCGGGCTTCTCAGAAGAGGGTTTGCGGATGGATGTTATTACCAGGTTCTGTCCTCTCCTGGGAAGCCTCCAGATCTTCCCATCTCCAGAAAGGAAAAAGGCCAGTGTGTCAACATGAGTGACAAGGCCAATGTGCTGGCCCTTTGTCACATCCATTTCAGTTCTCTCCATACTTCTCCACCTCCGTTTGCCCAAATTGGGCTCTTTACTGTCCCTCCTACAAGGGGAGCAACGGGACCTCTCCCACTTTGGCGTTTCTGCACTTGCTGTCCCCTCCCTCTGCAGAACTCTTCCCCTGTGTGTCCATGATACTTGCTCCTGCTCCTTCCCCTCCTTTAGGGCCTAGTTCACAGGTCACCTTCTCAGTGAAACTTTCCCTCGCCACTCTGTTGAAAATAATCCCTTGCTCCCAGCCCCAGCCATTGTACCCTTCTGTATCCGCCTTCCCCGATGTGTTTTCCTCCGCAGTATTCATCACCATCTATGCTGGCATGTGTTCTATTTATGTTTTTAAAAAATCTCTTTTCTCCTCTAGAGTGCCATTTCCTACAGGGTGTGTGTTTTTGACCACCTGGTTCCCTTCAGTATCTCCAGGGCCTGGCACACTGCCCTAGTGCATAGTTAGGACTGAGGAAGTATCTATTGCACATGATGGATGGATGGATGGATGGATGGATGGATGGATAGATGAATTTTTCATAAAACCCTGCCATCTTCATGTCACCCTGTTTCAGGAAACACACTGGTCTCATGTTGAGAGGGAGTCTGAGTAAATAATAGGGAGATGTTCCTGTTTGCTCCTGGCCACTTACCTCCAGCACCCAAGCTCTGAGGTCTTAGGTTTCCATGCAGCTAGAGCCCCTCCTTGCTGTGACTAGCCAGGAGGGCAGCGATGCTGACACATGCATTTCATCCCACGAGTGGGAATGCCTTTAGGGGAGGGGTGGCTTATTTACTTGGGTGAATAAACTATCCTGTTGGGAAGTTCTGTCATTCACCCATTTACTCCTGGAGATGTTTTCCCCTGGCAGAGTGAATGGTCAAACATCTCCCATCTTATTACATTTTTTAAAATTGCTACATAATAGTTGTATTGACACATATTTTAAAAGTACATGTGATAATTTGATACATTCATATAATGTATAAAGATCAAATCAAGTTGATTGGGATATCCAGTGCCTTAAATATTTATTTCTATGCTAGGAACATTTTAATAATTCTCTTCTAGATACACTGAAGTGTACAACAGATTATTGTAAACTGTAGTCACCCTGCTGATCTTTCAAATACCAGCTCTTATTTTCTCTACCTGACTGTGTGTTTGTACCCATTAATCAACCTCTCTTCATCTCTTCCTCCGTGCTACCCCTCCTGGCCTCTGGTCACCACCAGTGTGCCCTCTCTCTTCATGATATCCACTTTTCTAGCTCTCACATATGAGTGAGAACATGTGATATTTGTCTTTTTATGTCTGGCTTATTTCACTTAACATAATGACCTCTGGTTCCATTTATGTTGCTGCAAATGACAGGATCTCATTCTTTTTTTGTGGCTGAATAGTACTCCATTGTGTATATATGCCAGATTTTCTTCATCCATTCATCTATTGATGGCCACTTAGGTTGATTCTGTATTTTGGCTATTGTAAATATTCTGAATAGTGCTGCAATAGATATGACACTGCAGATATCTCTTTGATATATTGATTTTCTTTCCTTTGGGTCTACAGCCAGCAGTGAAATTGCTGGATTATATGGCAGTCCCTACTTTTAGTTTTTAGGTTTTTTTTTTTTTTTGAGATGGAGTCTCGCTCTGTCTCCCAGGCTGGAGTGCAGTGGTGCAATCTCGGCTAACTGCAAGCTCCGTCTCTTGGGTTCCACGCCATTCTCCTGCCTCAGCCTCCCGAGTAGGTGGGACTACAGGCGCTGCCACCACACCCGGCTAATATTTTTGTGTGTGTGTGTGTGTGTGTTTTTTTTTTTTTTTTTTTTTTAGTAGAGACGGGGTTTCACCATGTTAGCCAGGATGGTCTTGATCTCCTGACCTCATGATCCGCCCGCCTCGGCCTCCCAAAGTGTTTGAATTACAGGTGTGAGCCACTGCTCCCAGCCCTATTTTTAGTTTTTTGAGGAACCTCCGTGCTGTTTTCTATACTGGCTGTACTCATTTACTTTCCCGCCATCAGTGTACAAGGGTTCCACTTTTTGCATATCCTTGCCAGCATTCAATCTTTCCTGTCTTTTTTATAATAGTCATTTACACTGTAGTGAGATGATATCTCATTATAGTTTTGATTTGCATTTTTCTGATGGTTAGTGATGTTGAACATTTTCCTGTTGGCCATTTGTGTGTCTCTTTTGAGAAATGTCTATTCAGATCTTTTATGCATTTTTAAACCGTATTATTTTATTTATTTATTTATTTATTTTTGCTGTTGAGTTGTTTGGGCTCCTTATTATATTCTGGTTATATTCTCCTTATTTATCCCTTGTCAGATGGATAGCTTATAAGTATTTTCTCCCATTCTGTGGGTTGTCTCTTTGTTGATTGTTTTCTTCATTCTGCAGAAGGTTTTTAGCTTGATGTAACCTTATTTGTCTATTCTTGCTTTGGTTGCCTATGCTTTTGAGGTCTTATACAAAAAAAACTTTGTCTAGACCAATATCCTGGAGTATTTCCCCAATGTTTTATTTTAGTAATTTCCAGTTTCAGGTCTTAGATTTGAGCCTTTAATCTATTTTTATTTGATTTTTGTATGATGAGAGATAGGGGTCTAGATTCATTCTTTGATATATAATTACCAGTTTCCCCAGCATCATTTATTGAAGAAACTGTCCTTTCCACACTGTATGTTCTTGGCACCTTTGTTAAAATGAGTTGACTGTAGACCAGTGCTGGGATCGGGCTGCGCCGTGTTATGGCCCTGTACCACACCGAGGAGCGCGGCCAGCCTTGCTCACAGAATTATCGCCTCTTCTTCAAGAATGTAACTGGTCACTACATTTCCCCCTTTCATGACATTCCTCTGAAAGTGAACTCTAAAGAGGAAAATGGCATTCCTACGAAGAAAGCACGAAATGATGAATATGAGACTCTGTTTAATATGATTGTAGAAATACCTCGGTGGACAAATGCTAAAACGGAGATTGCCACCAAAGAGCCACTGAATCCCATTAAACAGTGTGTAAAGGATGGAAAACTACGCTATGTGGCGAATATCTTCCCTTACAAGGCTTATGTATGGAATTATGGTACCCTCCCTCAGACTTGGGAAGATCCCCCTGAAAAAGATAAGAGCACGAACTGCTTTGGAGATAATGATCCTATTGATGTTTGTGAAATAGGCTCAAAGATTCTTTCTTGTGGAGAAGTTTTTCATGTGAAGATCCTCGGAATCTTGGCTCTTATTGATGAAGGTGAGACAGATTGGAAATTAATTGCTATCAATGTGAATGATCCTGATGCCTCAAAGTTTCATGATGGGGTCTCACTATGTTGCCCAGAATGGTCTCGAACTCCTAGGCTCAAGCAATTCTCCCACCTCAGCTCCCAAGTAGCTGGGATTAGGGGCATGCCATGGCACCTGGCTCCGGGCCGAATTTGACAACAGATATTTTTAGCAACGTTTTATTGAATTCTTTCAGAACATTCAAATTACCTTCATAAAGACAAAAACTTTTTTGTACTCATAAATTCACTGGTGTATGTAATATTTAATTACATCTTGTAATTATAATAAAAGATACAGTTAGCATAAATGGTTTGGGATTAAACACACCTGATGCTTGGTAAAGCTAAAACTTAACTGATGGAAACAAAAGTGTGGGCTTCCTTCTAGAGTATTCTGCCAGAGGCAGCATACATAATATGTGAACATGACTCAGAATGTTCTACAGAAGTAGAGTCTTTACTAATCAGTCCAGTAAGTTGATCAAGTAGAGTTCGATTAAAAGAGCTTAATTTGTAATCAAAATTAGAAACTGAAATAGATTTAGCCTGATTACATATAGAGCTTTTCCAGATTATCCTAACTTTATTGGATTAGTTCATCTTTAAAATTCATACAAAATTAATTTCACAAGTGGGAATAAATGACTACTAGAGAATTGCCACTTTTCTTAAAATAACATAGATTGTAAAAAATGTATCTAATCAAAGATGTCCTACAAATAGATAGTGTTGATGGTTGCACAAAATTGTAGACATACTTAATGTAACTGAATTATACACTTAAAATGCTTAACATGGCAAATTTTATGTTACGGATATTTTATCACAATAAAAGAAAACTGAAAAAAAAATGAGTTGACTATAAATGCATGACTTTATATCTGGGTTCTCTCTAGTTCTCTTTTTTTAAGCGATGGGGTCTCACTATGTTGCTGGTCTCAAACTCCAGGCTTCAAGTGATTCTCCCACCTTGGTCTCCCAATGGCTTCTCTATTCTGTTCCATTGGTCTATGTGACTATTTTTATGCCAGTACTGTGCTGATTTGGTTACTATAGTTTTGTAGTATGTTTTGAAATCAGGTAGTGAAGTCAGCTTTGTTCTTTTGCTCAGGATTGCTTTGGCTATTCAAGATTTGTGGTTCCATATAAAGTTTAGGATTTTTTTTTTTCCTGTCTCTGTGAAGAATATCATTGATATTTTGATAGGGATTATATTGAATCTGTAATTTGCTTTGGGTGGTGTTGTCACTTGAATAATATTCTAATCCACGAGCATGGAATATCTTTCCATTCTTTGGTGTCCTCTTCAATTTATTTCATCAGCGTATTAATAGTTTTTCTTATATAAATCTTTCACTTCTCTGGGGAAATTGATTCCTAGGTATTTTATGTTCTTTGTAGTTACTGTAAATGAGATTGTTTTCCTGATTTCTTTTTCAGATTATTTGCTGTTGGCATATAGAAATGCTACTGATTTTTATGTGTTGATTTTGTATCCTGCAAGTTGCAATCATGTCCTCTGTGAACAAGGCTAATCTGACTTTTTCCTTTCCAGTTTGGATGCCCTTTATTTCTTTCTCTTGCCTACTTTCTCTGACCAGGACTTCCAATACCATGTTTAGTAACAGTGGTGAAAGTGGGCATCCTTATCATGTTCCAGACCTTAGAGGAAAGGCTTTCAATTTTTCCCAATTCAGTATGATGTTGGTTGTGGGTTTGTCATGTATGGCCATTATTATTTTGAAGTATGTTCCTTCTGTATCTAGTTTGTTGAGGATTTTTATCTCAAAGAGATGTTGGATTTTATCATATACTTTTTTCAACATCTACTAAAATGATCACATGGTTTTTGTTCTTGGTTCTGTTAAAGTCATATATCACATTTATAGATTTGTATATGTCAAACCATCCTTGCATCCCTGAGAGGAATTTCACTTGATCATGGCAAACGATTTTTTAATATGTTGGTGAATTCATTTTGCTAGTATTTGGTTAAGAATTTTTGCATCTACTGGCTGGGCGTGGTGGCTCATGCCTGTAATCCCAGCATTTTGGGAGGCCAAGGTGGGTGAATCACTTGAGGTCAGGAGTTCAAGACCAGCCTGGCCAACATGGTGAAACCCCATGTCTACTGAAAATACAAAAAGATAGCCAGGCATGGTGGCACATGCCTGTAATCCCAGTTACTCTGGAGGCTGAGACAGAAGACTAGCTTGAACCCAGGAGGTGCAGAGTGTGGTGAGCCAAGATCACACCACTGCCCTCCAGCCTGGGCAACAGGGCTTGACTCTGTCTCAAAAAAAAAAAAAGAATTTTTTCATATATGTTCATCAGTGATATTGACCTATAGTTTTCTTGCCTGGTTTTAGTATCAGGGTGGTGCTGGCCTCATAGAATGAGTTTGGAAGTATTCCACGGTCTTCAATTTTTTTTCAAGGCTTTAGGAGAATTTATTTATTTATTTATTTTTTTGAGTCAGGGTTTCACTCTCATTACCCAGGCTGGAGTGCAGTGCTGCAATCTTGGCTCACTGCAACCTTGACTTCTGGGGCTTAGATCCTCCCACCTCAGCAACCTCCTGAGTAACTGAGACTTCAGGCACACACCACCTTGCCTGGCTAGATATTAGTTCTTCTTTAAATGTTTCATAGAAATCAGCAGTGAAACCATCTGGTTGTGGACTTTTCTTTAATAGGAGACTTCTTCTTATGGCTTTGATTTAGTTACTTGTTATTGATTGGTTGAAGTCTTCTGTCTCTTTGTGGTTCAGTCTTGGTAGGTTTTATGTACCAGAGAATTTATCCATTTCTTCTTGGTTTCCAATTTGTTGGTGCATAATTGTTCATAATAGTCTCTAATGATTTTCTTTTTTGTATTTCTGTGGTCTCAGTTTTTATGTTGCCTTTTTCATTTCTGGTTTTATTTGAGTGTTCTCTTTTCTTCTTAGTCCAGCTAAGGATTTGTCAATTTTGCTTATCTTTTCAAAAATTTGAGTTTTTGTTTCATTGATCTTTTGTACTTTTTTTAGTCTCAATTTTATTTATTTCTGCTCTTACATTTATTATTTCTTTTCTTCTACTAATTTTGGGTTTGGTTTGTTCTTGTTTTTCTAATCTCTTAAGGTGTTCTTAAGTCTTTCTACTTTTTTGATGTAGGTGTTTATTGCTATAAACTTCCCTTTTACCATTGCTTTTGCTGTATCCCGTAGATTTTGATATGTTATATTTCCATTTCCATTTGTTTCAAGATATTTAAAATTCTCCTTCTTAATTTCTTCATTGACCTCAGTTGTTGAGGAACATATTATTTACTTTCCATGTGTTTATGTAGTTTCCAGGGTTCCTACTGTTATTGATTTCTAGTTTATTTCATTGTGGTCAGGAAAAAATAGTTGATATGATTTCTACTTTTTTGAATGTGCTGGGATTTGATTTATGGCCTAAGATACAGTCTTTTCTAAAGAATGTTCTGTATACCAATGAAAAGAAAATGTATTCTGCAGCAGTTGGGTGAAATATTCTGTAAATGTGAGTTAGTCTTGTTTTGTCTAGTATACAATTTAACTCTGGTGTTCCTTTGCTGATTTTCTGTCTAGATGATCTGTCCATTACTGACAGCGGGAAGCTGAGGTCCCCTTCTACTATTGTATTGTGGTCTATCTCTTGCTTTAGATATATTAATGTCTGCTTTATATTTTTGGGTGCTCTGGTGTTGAGTGCATAGATGTTTATAATTGCCTTTATCATTATATAATGCTCTTCTTTGTCTTTGACTTGTAGTCTGTTTTGTCTAGTATAAGAATAGGTAATCCTACTATCTTTTGGTTTTCACTTGCATGGAATATCTTTTTCCATCTCTTTCATTCTATGTGTGTCTATATAGGTAATACTGGTTTCTTGTAGGCAGCATATAGCTGAATCTTGTTTCTTTATCCATTCAGCTGTATATATCTTTTAATTAGAGCATTAAGTTCATTTACATGCAGTGTTATCATTGATAAGTAAGGACTTACTACTGCCATTTTTCTGCTTGTTTTCTCATTGTTTGGTAACCAGCTTTCTTCCTTCCTTCCTTCCTTCCTTCAATCCTCCTTTTCTTTTTTTCATCTTCCTTTGTGGTTAAGTGATTTTCTCAGGTAATATGTTTTAATTTGTTGCTTTTTATTTTTAGTGTATCTATTATAGGTTTTTGCATTGTGGTCATCACAAGGCTTGCAAAAACATCTTGTAGATATAACAAGTTATTTTTAAAGAGATAACTTATCTTAGATCACAGAAAGGAATAGAAACAATAAACTAAAAAAACCTCTGTGTTTTAACTCCATCTCCCCTACATATTGATTTTTTTGTTACCTCAATTTGGATATATTTACACTGCCTATTTCTTAGCAGGTTGCTGTATGTGTTTTTGTTTTTTATAGATTTGTCTTTTGGGCTTCATACTAGAGTTATGAGTGGATTGCACACCACAATTACAGTATTAGAGTATTCTTGGTATGTCTATATGCTTAATTTTACTAGTGGGTTTTATACCTTCAAATGTTTTCTATTTGCATGTTAGTGTTTTTTTTTTTTTTTTTTTTTCAAATTGAAGAACTTCCTTTAGTATTTCTTGTAAAATGGGTCTGGTGATGGTAAATTCTCTCAGCTTTTTTTGTCTGGGAAAGCCTTTATTTTTCCTTCATAGGTGAAGGGCAACTTTGCGGGATACAGTATTCTTGGATGGAAATTTTTTTTCTTTTAGCACTTTGAAAATTTTGTTCCACTGCTTTCTGGCCTGTTTGGTTTCCATTGATAAGTCTGTTGCCAGATGAATTGGAGATTCTTTATACGTTATTTGCTTCTTTTCTTTTGCTGCTTTTGGGATCCTCTTTGTCCTTGATCTTTCAGAATGTGATTATTACATGCCTTGGGGAAGTCTTATTTGGGTCAGATCTGTTTGTTGTTCTCTGACATTCCTGTACCTGGATGTTTATTTCTTTCTCAAGTTTTGGAAAGTTTTCTGTTATTTTTTTAAATAAGCTTTCTACTCCTTGCTCTTGTTTAACTCCCTCTTGAACACCAGTGATTCTTAGACTTTGTCTTTTGAGGCAATTTTCTTTATCTTGTTGACAATCTTTGTTCCTTTTTATTCTTTTTTCTTCTCTGTGTATTTTCAAATTGCCTGTTTTTGAGCTCATTTATTCTTACTTTTGCTTGATTCATTCTCCTACTGACAGCCTCTAATGAGTTTTTCAGTTCCTCAAATATATTTCTCAGTTTGAAAATTTCTGTTTGTTTTTATTATTATTTCAGTCTCTTCATGAAATTTCTCTGATAAATTCTTGAGTTGCTTTTTTGTGTTATTTTGAAAATCACCGAGTTTCCTTAAAACTGCTATTTTGAATTCTTGTTCAGAGAGCTCACATATCACCATCTTGTTAGGGTTAGTCACTGGTTCCTTACTTCATTTGTTTGGGGAAGTCATGGTTCCCTGATTGCTGCTGTCACGTATGAATGTATGTCTATGTGTTTGCACTGGAGAATTAGTTATTTTAGTCTTCTCTGTCTGGCTTCTTTTGTTTTTTATTGGATATATTTGCTTAGAGATTCGTTGTAATTTACCTGTTGAATTTCTTTCTTTTCCCATTAGGTCACTGCCTCCTTTTCAGCATTAGATAGTGCCTTAAGCCCAGGTTTGTCTCTGCTCTAATAAAGAATTGGAGCACTGCCCATCCCAAAAGGGGATAGTGCCAAAGGGGATGTCCTAGCACTGTGGGGAGGTTAAGTAGGGATTTGTGCTCAGGGGACCTGTGGGATGAACCTCCCACAG